TAGTCCTAACTTTCGACACAACTTCCTGCCTGAATCCCATTGGTCATGTGTTGTGTGGACATATTTGAGGTCAAAGCTCCACTCAGTGTAACTTCTTCTGCACTATATTGTGGCAAATCAGAACAGCAGCGTATGTCACTATGAGAGAGAACACATCCGCTCTCTCTGCATGGGAAATAATGGCCTTGCTTCTCATGATGTTGCACTTCCGCTTTTGGTGTGAAATCCCTGTGAGAACCTCTGGACTCCACTTCAGTAACATCTGAACTCCTGACTGAATGTTTACATGCTTTAAATAATTAAATCTCTTCAGGAGAATGAAAATATAAACATCGTAACTGACTCAGGGTTGGCTGACTAGTCGTCAAACTTCCTGGCTGACTCACTGAGCTTGTTAAAATGCTTGCATGTTTCCATTAAAGCGACAGTGTAACACTTTTCATCGGAAGCTGACAGACTTAATCACTGTTTGGTACGTAGAATAGAACATAAAGTCAACTTTACTGTCACGTACAACACACACAGTAAAACGTATAGTGACATCTGACCTTTGTAGCCCATATTAAGTACTAGGAGCAGTGGATTCAAGTGTAATGATTCCACAGTTTGCATGTTCTTCATGTGTTTACATAGTTTCCAAATGCCTGGTGACAGACTGTTTTTGCAGTGCAAGTGCTTCACGGACAAATATATATATATATATGTACATAAACACACACACGCATATATACATATAGATATATACATACACATACATAAAAAACATAAATACTACCAAATAGATGAATAAACAAGAGGAAAAGAAGTTAAAAACAGAGACACAACATAAATAAGTCAATAAACAGGAGATCTATTAAAAAGGCTATAGAGGAACAGCCCAAAGATTCATCCCATCGGAAGATGACTCCAGACGGTTGGTGTCGCTGCCTGTTCTCATGAATACTGAGCAGTACTGTAAATTCTTCGTCCTACATGTAAAGTAAATAAAGATAATTTACATGATTTAAAAGTTGTCAAATAATCTTTTTGCTGCAGTTATAGTCACCGACTGACCGAGCCTCCAATCAGTTGGAGCTGCCATATTTAATCAAAATGCCGTTGTGTTGTTAAATCTTCGTAATTCAGATAAAAAAATGTTGACTGTCATTTGCAGAAGTGGTTGATTACATTCGTAATCCTGCAGCGTAGTTAGATACTTAATGTCTCCTAGTTTCTTCCCTGTTTGAATGAGACGGGGTTAAAGGTTAATTAACTGACTGACTGACTGACAAATACACTGACTGGTTGACTGGCCCAGTGAACTTGATGACATAAGAAAGCTAATAGGACACACACACAGCCAACGCCCCAGGGGGGGGAGACAGCCTGGGAATGGGATTACCGCTCTGTGTGTGTGTGTGTGTGTGTGTGTGTGTGTGTGTGTGTCTGCCACTGTGATCCCCTCCTTATTAGGACTCTTCATCCTGCAGCGTGTCTCTCTGCAGGCAGACAGACTGCTGCTGCCTGTCTGTCTGCCTGCTTTAATTAGATAGGAGATGCTACTAAATAAGCTCTCTCACTTACACACATCACTGAAGCAAGTGGTCGTCAACCTCTGGTCTGTGGACTGGTTCTGGTCCACCAGGTGTTGATGGATGGGTAGATTAACTTGTGTGGAGAGATTTGTGATTTAAATCTTCACACAACTTGAAACATAAATTAAAATTCTTTCTGCATTTTTAATTTAACTGTGGCTTCCTTTTAAGAAGGTGCTGTTATTTGTTCAGCTCAACGGACAGATGAACAGTGAGGTTACAGGGGGTTTCTAGGTGAGGTAAGACCTACAGGAAGTGATTTTAGGTCTAACAAGACAGGCCTCATATCTCTGAATGAGCAGCCGTCTATATCTATGTATCAGTTACACTTTAAATGGAGTGAGGTAAATTATTTCTCATGCTTGTAAAACTAAAAACATGACTATTAACTTCAGAAAAAAATCACTTTCACTATCCGGGACCACTAACGGGCAACACATGTTAAAGTGTTAAGTTGTAAGCACCTTGGTTTTACATTAACAAGATACAGAGCTTTGAAGTGAGATATTTTATGCAACAAAAGCTTTATTCTGACAGCATTTATTTTTCTCATTACAAGAGCAAGACCCGACAAAGTTATCAAAAGGTTGTTTGAGCTTATTATTCTGTCTTGGCTAATCTGCCTGCTTATAATTGTTTTTATGTGAAGTTGACTTACATGTCTTCACCTTTTCAGTGATTTGTTGATACAGAAACAGAAATCAATTGAGCAAAGAGACAGGTTTCCAAACATTAGGTGCA